TGTCTGAAAAATAAGGGGCTTGTTTCATTGATATGGTGCCTCATTAAAAACCTTTTCTCAGGAAAACCTCTTTTCACATTCTTTTAAGAGGAGAAAACCTGGGACAAGGAAAAGAGTACACCGAAACAAATACATTATATTCTAACTAAAATAATGCTTCAAGTGCGTTGCATTCCATGTTCGTGGAATGGATTTTCCTGAGAGTTCTTCTAACTTGTATGCTCCATTCTGCAAGTTGTGCATTATGCGGTAGGGGCCGTCCCAATTCGGTGCCAGCTTCCCCTGAGCCTTGTCTTTTCGCGCCTCTCCTGTGACTCGCCAGACTAAGTCGCCGGTTTGAAATTCGCGAGGCTTGACCTTGGTCCGGTGTTTTCTGGACAACCTGGCTCGACAAGCTTCCATCATGATGAGGGCTTGGTCGCGTGCTTCTTCCACTAGGTCGAGTTCCACGTTTAGGGCTTCCTCGTTGATCTGGTTGTTGAACATTGTTCGTCTTAGTGATGGTTCTCCTACCTCTACCGGGATCATGGCATCTGTACCGTAAGTAAGCCGAAAGGGTGTCTCCCGAGTCGAGCTTTGCGGAGTGCAACGGTAAGCCCACAAGATTTCTGGTAAATGCTCGGGCCATGCCCCCTTAGCTTGTCCGAGGCGCCGTTTTAGTTCTTTGAGGATAACTTTGTTTGCCGCTTCGGCCTGCCCATTTGATTGGGGGTGCTCTACCGAGGTCATTTTGTGCTTGATACCCAGCTCCGCTAAAAACTCGTTGAAACGGCGGTCGGTGAATTGCAAACCATTATCCGTGATCAAAGCATATGGGATTCTGAACCGAGTAATGACATTCTTCCAAAAGAATTTTTGGACGTTGTTGGTCGTGATGGTAGCCACTGGTTCTGCCTCAATCCATTTGGTGAAGTGGTCGACGGCCACAAGGAGAAATTTGACTTGGCCTTTCGCTGGTGGGAAAGGTCCCAAAATGTCCATGCCCCAAATAGAAAATGGCCAGGGGGTGGTGATGGAGTGTAACTCTTCGGGTGGTTGATGTGTCAATGGCCCGTGCTGCTGGCAGGGCTTGCATTGTTGAACATACTTTGAGCAATCTGCCCTTAGAGTGGGCCAATAATATCCCGCCCTGACGACTTTGGCTGCTAGGGTTCAACTTCTCGAATGGGTTCCGCATATGCCTTCATGGATCTCTCGAATTACATAGTGTGCTTGATCCGGTGCCAAACATTTCAACAAAGGTGACGAGAACCCCCTTTTGTACAATTCTCCAGCGATTAGGGTGTATCGGGCGGCCACGACTTTCATCTTCTTTGCTTCCAATGGGTCGATGGGTAGCAACCCGGCTGTTAGGTATTCTATTATCCCCGTCATCCAATTGGGCGTTTCCTTCTGAATTTGTAGACACTCGGCCTGTGTGATACTTGGTTTAGGCAATTCTTGCTGTATCATGCTGCGCAAATGGCTAACCTTCTTGCTGCTGGCTAGCCTGGCCAACTGATCGGCTCTCATGTTGAGTTCTCGAGGCGTGTGTTTGATTTGGACATCTTCAAAATCTGCTTTTAGCTTATTGAACGCGTGAAAGTATAGTAAAAGCGTCGGTTCTTTGATTTGAAAGGTACCGTTGACCTGCTCTGTTACCACTTTCGAGTCGCTCCAGCACTGCACTTTGGGGATGCCTAAGTCCTTTTCCAACCGTAGGCCTGCCAGAAGAGCCTCGTATTCGGCTTGATTATTCGATGCCTTGAAACCGAAACGTAGTGACTGTTCAATCACCACTTGACCAGGCCCTTCTAAAATAATGCCGGCACCACTGCCTTGATGGTTAGATGACCCATCTACATGTAGGGTCCATAGGTGAGACTCAGGGATCTCTTGGGGTGTGAACTCATTCAAGAAATCCGCCAAGCTTTGTGCCTTGATGGGTCCCCTAGGCTCGAAGCGAATATCAAACTGGGACAATTCTATAGACCAAGCGACCATTCGTCCTGCCAACTCTGGCCTTCGCAGGACCTTAGTTACTGGGCTGTCCGTTCGAACGAGCACCCGATGGCTCTGAAAATAATGTCGAAGGCGCCTGGCAGTATGTACGAGGGCCAAGACTGTTTTCTCGAGATGTTGGTACCGTGTCTCGGCGTCTTGCAGGACTCGGCTGATGAAGTACACAGGCATTTGCTCAGTTTTTTCCTGCACCAACACAGTGCTGATAGCTTTGTCTGATACTGATATGTAGATTATCATGTCCAAGCAAGGGTCCGGCTTGCTCAACAGCGGTGGAGCCATGAGCGTTGTCTTGAAGTTTTGAAAAGCTGTCTCGCATTCCTCGTTCCATTGAAACTTGGTAGCTTTTTTCAATAGGTACATTATAGGCCTTGACTTCTCGGCCATGCAGGGGAGAAAGCAAGCTAAAGAGGCTATGCGTCCGGCTAGGCGCTGTACTTCTTTTATGTTGCGGGGACTTTGCATGTTGATAATCGCCTGACACTTATCGGGGTTGGCTTCTATTCCCCTTTTTGACAACATGAATCCTAAGAATTTTCCCCCGGCCACCCCAAAGGTGCACTTTGCCGGGTTTAATCGCATACGGTGCCGCCTTACTTCTTCAAAGATCGTGCTTAGATCTTTCAAATGATCACCGACTGAAGTGGACTTTATGACCATGTCATCCACATACACTTCCATACATGTCCCTATCTGGTGGCAGAAGATTTTGTCCATGAGTCTTTGGTAAGTGGCACCGGCGTTTCTTAGACCAAAGGGCATTACCTTGTAGCAGAAGTTTGCCGAATCGGTGATAAATGCTGTTTTTTCTTCGTCTGGTGAGTACATGGGTATTTGATTATACCCCGAGTAAGCATCCAAGAAACTTAATCTGTGATGGCCAGCTGCACCGTCCACCAATGCATCAATGTGAGGTAGAGGATAGGCGTCTTTGGGGCACGCCTTGTTCAGATCCGTGTAGTCTGTACACATTCTCCATTTCCCATTGGCCTTTTTGACCATCACTACGTTGGCCAACCAAGTGGAATACTTGACTTCTCTTATGAATCTTGCCTGGAGTAACTTGGCGGTTTCCTCCTTTATTGCCTGGGCTCTTTCTCCGCCCATTTTTCCTTTCTTTCGGGCGATGGGCTTGGCGTCTCGGCATACTGAGAGATGATGGCAATGAAAATTTGGATCAATGCTCGGCATATCCGCTGCCGTCCAAGCAAATAGATCTGAATATTTCTTCAAGACTTGTTTGATATCTTTAGCTTCTGCTTCGGATAATTGAGAACTCAAAAAGGTAACCTGTCCTTCAATGTTTCCGAGTTGGAAGGGGACTGTTGTCTCAATAGGTTCAACCCTATCTTCATCTTCCAACCTCGGATCAAGTTCCAAGCCTTCTAACTTTTGTTTGCCGACGTCGCCGATGACGTTCACGTCTCGTCTTGGCTTCGGCATTGGCTTTACTTTTAAGCTGGCGAAGTAACATTCGCGCGCTGTCTTCTGGTCCGCATGTACAGTAATGACGGTCCCTTCCTCCGACGGGAATTTCATGGTTAAGTGAGGGGTGGATACGATGGCTCGGAGTTTGTTCAGAGAGGGTCTGCCCAACAGAATGTTGTACGACGTGTTGGCCTGCACCACCACGTAACGCACCTTGATCTGCCTGCGCTGGTCGTCTCCGAAGTAGGTATATAGGTCTATGGTTCCCCGAGTATCCACCCTTTCGCCCGAAAACCCTACCAAAGGCTCGTCATAAGGTGTGAGCTCTTGTTCTGGGATGCCCAATTGCTCAAACGTCTTCCAGTATAAGATGTCGGCCGAACTTCCCTGATCTACTAGCGTCTTTTTTACGAGACAATTGTTGATCTCCACGGTGATGACCATTGGGTCGTCTTGCACCGGGTCAATGCCGTGGAAGTCTCGGTCAGTGAACGTTATAGGGGGCATACAAATGGGAGGTGTTCGTCCTATAGCGTGGACCGACTTGATAGCCCTCAAGTGTCTCTTCCGGGCTGAAGACGAGCTCCCCCCTGCGAAACCTCCAGCAATGGTGTTTATGACTCGTCTGGGCTGATTACGGTTTCGTTGGTCGTTTCCTTCTTAAGACCTGCTACGCTCGCGGGATCGGTTCCGGGGAGGTGCTCGATCTCGGTTGTCTCTCCCAGGTTCCCCTCTTCCGTGGCGGTATTCGTTCCTTCTGTTATCCGTTATCCAAATGAAGTTTTGGAGGTGACCGGCCTTAACGAGATCTTCGATACGGTCTCGAAGGGCGGAGCACTCCTCCGTGGTGTGTCCTCTATTCCGATGGAAATGACATGCTTTTGTCTTGTCGGCGTGAGGTGGGGTCAAAGCTCTTCGAGGAACGGCCAAAACTTCCGTGGCTAGAGCTTGCTCCAACACTTTGGCCCTGCTGGCGTTGAGCGGCGTATACTGCATATACCTCGGACCTCTGTTATTGCTCTTCTCACGATCAATGGCTTCCCGGGGGCGAGACTTAGGAGGTTCCTTGTCATTCTCTCTTTTGCCGAGGAACAGGTCAGATCGGTTTTGGCTGCGGAACTCAGCCAGTTCCTCCATCTGCATATATTTGGTGGCCCTTTGCCGTAGGTCGTCCAGGTCATGGGGGGGCTTTTTGCACAAGCTATTGACAAAGGGACCGGGCCGCAGCGCGGTGGTGAGGTGATGCATTGCTACTGCCGGATCCAAATTCCGAATAGACAACATCATTTTTCCAAACCTCTCCATGAAAGCCCTCAAGGGTTCTTTCTTCTCTTGGCGTATACTGACCAACGCAATGGATGTCAGCTGATGAGGCCGGCTCGTGGCGAACTGTATTACGAAACGAGAGGACAGGGATGTGAACGAATCAATTGATCCGGGAGGGAGTCGTGTGAACCAATTAAGCGCTGGCCCTTTCAACGAAGTAGGAAAGACTTTGCACATGATTGCATCGTCGTCGGTGTACAGACCGACCTGTGTGACGAACGCGTCGAGATGTTCTTCCGGGTCGGAGGTCCCATCGTACTTTTCCAGGGTCAAGTTCTTCCAATTATCGGGCAAACGAGGGGGAACCTGGGAGAGACAACCGAGATCGAGCACCTCCCCGGAACCGATCCCGCGAGCGTAGCAGGTCTTAAGAAGGAAACGACCAACGAAACCGTAATCAGCCCAGACGAGTCATAAACACCATTGCTGGAGGTTTCGCAGGGGGGAGCTCGTCTTCAGCCCGGAAGAGACACTTGAGGGCTATCAAGTCGGTCCACGCTATAGGACGAACACCTCCCATTTGTATGCCCCCTATAACGTTCACTGACCGAGACTTCCACGGCATTGACCCGGTGCAAGACGACCCAATGGTCATCACCGTGGAGATCAACAATTGTCTCGTAAAAAAGACGCTAGTAGATCAGGGAAGTTCGGCCGACATCTTATACTGGAAGACGTTTGAGCAATTGGGCATCCCAGAACAAGAGCTCACACCTTAGTCCGAACCGGATGAACTCTCAGACTCCCCACTATTATTACTAAGCCCCAGATGAGGGGAACCCCCTGCCTCGACCTCGGCATTGAAGCCAACACTTCGGCCTCAACATCGACTGATAACACCCTAGAATTCGAGGACGACCCCGATGACAAATCAATCAGCTCAGTTGCCATTTAAAAGAAACTAATATCTACCTTTTAGTGACGTACTCGGGAGACAAGACGATGAGGGCGTCGGGGCAGAGGATCTCAAGATAAATGGCACGCCAAAGACCTTGCCCTACCACCATATATATAGGAAAAACCCCGGACACCCAAGAGTCACCAATTAATGCTCTTTCAACTGAAGCGACGCCAGCTAAAGGCTCGAAACCCTAGGGCGGTTGCGCATGCAACAGTCACTTTTACCCAAACGACACGAATCCCGAGGCGTGTACGGAAACCCTAAAAAGCCAAAAACCCCTTCGTCTTTCATCCTTGGGCTTGGGGGGGCAGTGTACGGGATAGGAACCCCGTTGACTCGGTCAAAGGCCGAATACGACAAAACCGAAGGGATACCCTCACACCCCTTCGTCTAGAAATCAAACTTGGAACCCTCGAACACCATCTCGGCTATGAACCAGGCCGAACACCCTCTCGGTCGTGGACCAGGCCGAACACCATCTCGGCCATGGACCAGGCCGAGCACCAGCTCCTCCAGGGAACAAAACAGTACCTCCTAAATCCAATTGAGCAGTCACTACAAAAGCCGAGCACCCTCTCGGCCATGGACCAGACCGAACACCCTCTCGGCCATGGACCAGGCCAGACACCATCTCGGCCATAGGCCAAACCGAACACTCACTCGGCCCCTGACCAGGCCGAACTCCCTTTCGGCCTCAGGCCAGGCCAAATACCTCGTCGGCTTCAAGCTCGACCGAAGGACCTGACAAGAGGGGAATTCACCTAAAACACGTGGCTAGCCAAATTCCTACTATGCATTAATTACCATGCCAGATTAAGACAGGATTAAGGTTAAGTCAGATATTACCCATCTCTCAAGGGTGAAGGCCCATCAGGCCCACATATGTCACTATAAATATACAGGTGATGTGACATAAATGAGGTACGTTACTATTCCTTCTAACGTATTATTGCTCTGAACCGAACACTGACTTGATCGTCGAAGTGCCTTTTCAGGTACCCTCCCCCACCACTCGGAGCTAGTGTTCGGTCGGCACGGAAGATTCAGAAAGACTTGGAGGCAGCTAGGAAGGAGCAAGGAGAGGAGTGTTCCTCCCCGGAACATTGCACATTTGTATTCACAAGAGCATTTTCCAAGTAAAGATAAATGAGTTATCTTGCTCATGAGCTTGAGTCAAAATGTGGGTAATAAGGCTAACTCTCAACCCTATATTATTGATGTTGATTTGTATGTTTAATTTTCTCTATGGGTTGTGAATACTTGGAGCACTTTAGTTCCTTGTCGTAGACTAATTAATGCTTGATTGTGTTGTTAGAATTCTATGTTATTGAATTAAATGAAATGAAGGTTCATGATAAATGAAATTTGTATTTTATTAGAGTGGTAGTAAATTAAATAAATAAATCTTATGTATGTTATTACATGACAATGATGAGCCAACACTCTTTATGCTCATGGTATATGTCTTATGATGGTTATTGCCACTTTGTCCTAAATAGAAATTTCTGGAATAATTTAGTTGTCAAAATTTGTTAGTGTGCATGAGAAATGCATTACAATGACTCCTATAAAGTGTATCTTTGATTCATTAGTAATCAAAAAATTTATTAATGAAATCAAATACTACAACTCTTTTTTTATTTTATTATTAAAGTAGTAGTGAATTAAATAAATAAATTGTTTGTATGTATGTTATTCCATGAAAATGATATGCCATCATTTTTTATGCTCATGATGTGTGTCTTATTATGGTTAGTGTAACTTTTCCTAAATAGAATTCTTTAGAATAGGCTAATTTTCAAAATTTGTTAGATTGTGTGCATGAGAAATGCATCACAATGACTCTTATAAAGTGCATTGTCCAATTCTTCTATAACTAGAAACTTTATCAAAAAAAGTTTGAAAAGGAGAATTTACTGAGTTAAGGATGAGATAGGTAATCTATTTATTAAATATATAGAAGTTGTAAAGCTATGATCCCAAAACTTATAAAGTAATTGTATTTGGGCTAAAAAAGTAAGACCCATTTTAATAATTTAATAGTGCTTTCTCTCAATAATATCATTTTGGTGTGTGGTATGGAGATAAGTTAACCTATATATAATACCTTTTTCAATAATTAAAAGCTTAGGAAAAATTCTAAACTTTCCTCTTCCAATCAATTTTCACAACTTTTAAGGTATTGAAAAATAGAGTTCTAATGAGTTCATAGAACTGTTTAAAGGAAAAAAGATCATCTAACTTTATTTTAATATATATATATATATAGAGAGAGAGAGAGAGAGGAGAGATTCGTTTACTCCATGAATAAGTCTACCTAAACTTATTTCATTCAATAACTCTTGTTCTACATCAAATTTCAACAGTCCAACCGTTAAATTTAAAGTTCTTAATGCATAGATCAAAATACAAATTTTTAAAAAATTTGAAAACTATTTAATACTTCGTTTCATTAATTTAAATCAATGTATAAAATAATTTTATGGTTATCCGTCAATTTGAATTAGTGAAATGAAGTATCAAATGATTTTCAAATTTTCTAAAAATTTGCAAACTTGATCTACGCATTAAGAATTTTAAATTCAACAATTAGATCATTAAAATTTGATGTATACATAAGTTATTGAACGGAGTAAGTCTAGGTAGACTTACTCCTAGAGTAAATAAATCTCTTCTTATTTATATATATA